TTTTGTACGTGGCTTTTAAAATCTTACAAACATGGTGTCTGGATGGCATTACCTTGGCCTCCAGTAACACTGTGAGGAATCTTGGAGTCCAGGATATGTCCATCAACACACGCATTAAACAAATATGTAGGACTGCTTTCTTCCATCTGCTCAACATTGCTAAAATTAGAAACATCCTGTCTCCGAGTGATGCTGAAAATCTAGTTTTGTATGTTTGTTTCTTCCACACTGAGCTTTTATTTTATTTTTTTGTTCCATCCACCTGTTGTGCAAATAATTAAAGAATGCATGTAAGTGTTGGACTTGGAACTTCAGTGTGGTTCTTGAATTTAGAACCTAGATGTGTTAGACTTAATGTGATTACAGTTTGGGAAATGTTACACCCAAGACTACTTATACCCCACTTTCACTCCCAGCACCAGGCTAATGGGTTGGAAATGGAGTGAAAGTGGGTACAGAGAGGATACAGACTGGAGACAGACACGACAACAACACGATCTCCCATTGACTCCTATACCCAAATTTGCATTATCAGTTAACCAGGAAGCGTGTCTGTGGACTGTGGAGACCATGCAGACTCCACACCAAGGTTATAATAGTTAAATAACATGAAACTAGAAAACTAAAGCTAAACGTGAGAGAATCTTTTTAATTACCTGAAATAAAAGTTAAATGAAATGTAAGAAAACAGTAAAAGTAACAAAAAAATATTTTACACTAAGCTAAAATTTGTCAACATGGCCTGCATGAAGATGCTTTGGTGCACTTGTTTCAAAACTATAAGAGCTCACTTTGCAAAATCAACATTTTATGCCGTTTTTTTCCTCCAGCCATGTCCAGTATATGTTCAAGCCTGTCTTATGTTTTTGCATGCAGCTGCCAAAAATATGTCATTTTTACATTGTAGCACCTTCTAATATGTGTCAAATGGACATCTTGGAGTCTGACTAGCACGAGGAGCAACCTTACACAGTATATTATACAATGAACTTCAAGGTTTTTTAGAAGCAGCTAAATTTCCTTAGTGACAAAAGTTCAGTAATTTGTATCTGGATGTTGCACTGAACCCTCCCATCACTCTCTTTTGTCTCCATTCAGGTTTTGATGTCTCCAGCCACAGCAGCGAGGACCAGGAGAGGTGGATCGGAAGGAGGCTGCTGCAGGACACGGACAACAACCGCAGCAAGGAGACAGATTTACAAAAAGGAACAAAGAACTGCACTCCTCCAGGTAAGACAAGATGAAAGAAAGAGGACACCCAAGTGCGCTCCCCCCTCCCTCTCTCCCCGCTTTCTTCTTCCCCAGAACAAAGAGAGGGAGACCAAACCATCCTCACCACTCCCTGTCCCTTCTGCCCACCCCCACATTTTGACTTCCTAATGTGGGGTAACCCAAATTGTGAGGTCAGATGATTTCCCACGAGCGCACGCAGCAGCAGGCGGTGACATTCTGGCTGCCTCAGCGGTTTTCACACTCAGCCTTCGTCACATTTTTTTAGGATCCTGCAGATTTCATTCTCACTCCCTGCACCTAGCTTCCCCTCTCTGTCTCACACCGACTCTCTGTCATTCTTTCCCTTCTTTTTCCCCTCACATTTTTTTTTTCCTGGCAGATTTTAAAAGACAGAAGAAAAATCCCTGTTTCCACGGCAACCTTTTTGTCCCGTCATCGTCGAACATGTGAGGATGCTTCGTTTGTGAAGTTTCAAGTCACTTTTACAAGGCTAGAAATCAGCCACTTGTAATTAGTTTTTCGGCATCACATTAAACTGATTGGAGAAACTAAAGTAGCTGAAAAACTGCAGTTCCTCTAATGGCCACTTGAGGCCGACTCTAACAGTGGGTCAGTCCCCATAGACCCCACATGTTAAAATCCTCCTTTACAGCAGCTTTGAGTTCTCACTTTGTGACAGCTGTATCTCACCTATTTAAAAGACCACAATGAACCCGTGCGTAGATGTTGTTGACACAGACAGCTGGGGGCCATCTTCTACTCTTCAACTCTGCTTTTTGGAGTCACTGAAGAGGGTTTGTGATGTTGGTGCCTTTTAGATATTTATTAACATGACAAGTAAAATGGCTTTTTGTGCAGTGCAGACTGTCCAAGAAGTCTGTGATCCTGTTTTGATGAGTGAAATTCTACTATTTTAATTGTCCATTAGCAGGTATCTGTGTGATTCACATATACGGTCTATGGACAAGTCGACAGCTTTCATGCAAACTATGTGTGACCATGACAACCTGCTAGTGACTAAGGACTAATCACAAGGAGGGTGTTGGTATGACACTGTATACCTCCTTGCAACCAATTTCATGTTAGAGCCTGGCAGCAACCTCCAGCAACTGGTCAGGTGATACACATGTTTCTCTAGTGGCCGGTGGTTTCCAGGGGGTCCCTGACCAGTCTCTAGGACTGTGTAACGGGACCTTAACACTTAATAATAATTTATCCTTTTTTACCATACAGGGTAAAAAAGGATACATTTTTTACCCTAAAGCTAAAAGTTTGAGGCATGGAAACATTGACGAAAGGTGAATGGTGACACAGATGGCAGTAGCTGCTAGCTGTCTGCTAGGTTTTACCTCAGCTACTTGGAGTCACCGAACCAGATCTGTGGACTGTGTTTGTGCTGTTGGTGCCTTTTGAATCATTTTGCAGGCATGTGGCTTCCTGTCGGGTTAGTTATATCAGAAATATGTTCTCTAACGAGGCTAGCATTTAGACTGTTTTTATCCAATGAACTGTCTAATGAAGCGTGCAACACTGCAGCATCCAGCATGCTAAAAATGGGAATTTGACTACAGCCATCTTTCATATACAGTCTGTGGGTGTAATGCATCCTTAGGCAACCTTGTAGTCTCACCATCAGCTTCTCTGTTGCTATTTTTAAAAGTAAATGGACTGAAATGAGACGTTCGGTGCTGCTATAAGTGATGTGGAGAAAGGTGACATTTGTCTCTTACCTTGAGCGGAGACGATTGTCCTCCCTTCAGAGGGTGAGGCGGTCCTTGGTGAGCTCGTTAAGCAAAATGGCCATCATCAATCTCCTTTCTCACCCTCTCAAGGTCGTCACTGTCATCTATAAAGAGAGCCGAGGTCAAGGTTCAACTTATTCCCTTCTCCTGCTGATTATACTGTAGCTGTTCTCCTCTCTCTGCTAAATTTAAAGCTCACGCTCCGGTGGCTTCAGCCCCCAGATTCCTCCTGAGGACAGCAAGGTTTTTGCTAAATAACCTCTATTTTATGAAAGTCTTGCACCATTCTAGTCATTTCTGCTTGAATCTGGATTAAGGCACATTTGGCGTACTCGTATGAGAACTTGTTGAGTCATCCTACATCTGACCTCTGAGTGGAAATTGTTGGCGTGTTTTTGAAAAGTGCAGGATGTGTAGAAGAAGTATAGAAAGCAGTACATGTTTGTATTTTATGATGTATTTTATGTAGATCAGTGACATAGTAAGTAGGGATATGAAGGAGACTTATTTAGTACGCTGTCATGGATGAAGCTGTAGTTTGTGTCCAATTGCAGACCTGCTATTATTGTTCACTGTAGTTTTTTCCAATCATAAGGAATCTCCAAAGAGGACACACCATGTTATTAGCGGTGGGGCGTCGTGCTGTACCTGTGATGTATGTGAAAATAGTCTGCTGAAGGATAAGACGTCTGGCGAATGGCCTCAAGAGTTCACGAGGCTAGCAGTTCATGGTTGCATTAGCATGAAAAACCAGAATCTTCGCCAACTATCGGTGGTCAATTCACACTCTAGGAAATGAAAGCAGCACGTTTTGATGAATAGAAGAATGCAGACTGATGTTAGCCACTTCTGGCACTTATAAATCTGTTACATTAGAAAATTGTTCTGCAGCCCAGATGTGGCTGCTACAACACACCTGACATCTGGCCCATGTTGGGTGGACCTGTGGATGAGGTAAGCCAGCCCGACACATGACTCAAAGTAGTCTGTAAAGGCCCATAGATAAGTATAACTAACTATATCTGCAGGCAGTGCTTGGGCCAAAAAGCCCATAGCTATCTTAGTACTAAGGAGGAGGTGATCACAACCACTCAAGATAATGTTTGTGATTCCAAGTGCCTATCAGAAGCAGCTCATATACAGTAAACTACTGCTCACCTAGCATTCTGGTGGTGGTGGGGGGTAAACAGTCCCAGGAAACAGGATTTCAGTGCAGATGTGAGGTCTCTAATCAGTTCTTATACCAAGCACTTTCTTAAAATGCTTGGTACATCCTTCTCATTCCGTTGTTATACTCCACACCTGAGCCAGTCGTAATAGTGACAGAGCCCGGTCCAGGATCTGAACACAGCTTGATCTTAGTAAGGGGATGCGCCACATGAGTTAGGGTTAGTTAGTTAGCTTGAACATGTTGCCATAACTCCACCACCACCATGTCTCCCTTGACTGATCTCGACAGCCCTACCAAGGAGTTGAAGCAGCACTCCAGATGTTAGCAGGCCTTCCAAACTGGGAAATCTGTCTCATGTTGCTCACCCATTCTTTCTGCTGTTTGTCTTCTGATCCAGGAAGACCGTTTACCTTTCTGCTTTTCCTTCAGAACAAATATAGCACCATTAACGAAGAGACCCTAGCATTGCACTGTGCAGTATTTTGATTTGTACAGTGCTGCACACACCTCTTTTTCTTCACATTTCCTTGGAAAATATTAAATGAGTGCTGCAGTTTCTTCAACACGCTGTGAACTCTCTTGGGCAGCTCTTGTAATTTCTGTTAGTAGTCTTCAGGAATAGTTCTCCGGGTTTATCTTCTGTCAGGATGATTCAACACAATAATGTTAATGTCCGGGCTCTGGGGAAGTTTTTTTCTGTCAGTGTGTTTGGGATCAGCCAGCTTTCACCACATGGTGGTTCAGAATCTGACTTTTCTGTGTTCACAATTCCTTTAATTTTGAAAAGATCTCCAACATCACTTCGTGATCACATCATCAACGTGACAGAGCCTCCACCGTGTTTACAGACGCCTGTAGACGGTCACTGTTGTACCTCTCTCCTGACCAAATCTCACTCCACTGATTTTAAGTCTAGTTCTTATGTCATTTGGGATACCTCCGGCTTTTCTCCGTTTCCTTTCCTGAAAAATGGCTTCTTGAAAGCCACCCTGTCATTGATGATTGATTTCTGATGAGTCTCTATTGAACAGTAGATGGATCAGTAGCTAGATTTGCTGCTATTTCTCCAGAAGATGGCTTTCAGATATTGTTGATCTGTGGTAGGTAGTTTTTAAACTTGATGCGTCTTCTTTTGTAGGCCACTTGTCCAATTAGACATTTTTTGTGATGTTTATGTGTGGACACAAAACTGATTCAATCCTCTGAAATCCTCTGAAAATGGTCAGGTACAAGGAGTTGAGTGAAAATGAGTGAAAAAGTAGACAATGTCTAAAGTAAAGATCTTCAGAAAGCTGAAAAACTATTGTTCAGGACCAGTTTAAGAAATAAAGAAAGTCTGGCTCCTTGGAATTAAAATATAAAGTTGTGAACGGGGGTGCAAAATACAGTATGTTAGCTCCTCTTTGCAACCTGTTGTTGTTTAACAGAGATTAGTGTGCTGCACCAACATTATCCCAAATTACAACTTAGACATCCATCTCACAAATGGTCAGGAAAAGCTGGTTCCTGATAGGTTGGGCTCCACTAAAAACAGCCTGCTGTGGAAAATGGTTTACAGTTTCCAAGAAGTGAATTTAGACCCGTGTCAATGTGATGGAAATGCACTCAGTTCCTTGTCTCTGGGTAAAGTTCCTGTGGTGGAAACTGGGCTCTTCATAACTTACATAGTCTCACATCAAAAGCAAAAATTTCAGCATTTCTGAGGATGAAAAGCAGCTGGTGTTTCCATCCATGTCATTGTGCAACTTTTAATTTACTATCGGGACTGGTTTTATTAACTTCCACTCAAACGGCTAATCAAGTGATCAGCTGGTTTCGTGTGGGATCGTGTAGCAGCTTGCACATGCATTTGTGCACAGCAGAGTGTGTGTGTGAGTTATTTCCACAGCTTGCCACAGTGTACAGTACAAGGCTGGCTGATGAGGAAGTATCCCAACATGAGCTCTGTGTTCTGGGAGGATGCAGCGCGGCAGAGGCACTGACTGATTGTTGCCTGAAATTAGAGACCTGCTGATCAAGTGCTCGAAAGATGATGGAGAGAGAGCGAGAGAGGCCCTCATTTGCTAATTTCCCCTTCCAGCCAC